GGCTAATAGGACCAACCATACTCCTTTTCTGGTGCACTATTAGTGCCACCACCCACATAGTACCTTTTTAGTTTAATTTTATGCATTTATTTTTGTCCTCTTCATCTTCCATACTCAATGCCATTTGTCACCTCCTTGCCCACCATTCACATCCATACTCCTGTTTTTAATGTCTATCATTCTAGCATCCATGCCTTTAGTCACAAATTCTGTAACAATGAACAATAGGAAGCATTATTTTATGCTTTACATCAATTGCATTGTGATAAACATTTCACTGTGCTTTTTAGGTTCAATAGTATATTTGTGAACTGTCCTTCTTGTTATATATATAGAGAGCTCCTTCTTTCTGATTTGTAACCTGTATTTGATAATATGCATATACCACACATGTTTGTCCTTTCTCTGTTCAACTTTTAGGTTGGTTCCAAATCGTTACACTGACAAACATTAACAACAGTGCTGCCATGAATTGTCTTCCCCTGTTTCATGTTGTGAAAGATTTTCTAAGGTACCCAAGCATGGAATTTCCTGGGTTATAGGCTAAATGTGTACCAAATTGTTCTCCAAAAGCTTATATTCTCATCAGCAGTATGTGAGGCTTTCTGTTTCCCCATTTTCATCAGCATTTGACTGCCTATAACTCAACTTTTGCCCCCTGTTGAGAGTAAAATGGAAACTTATTTTAATTGCATTTTTTATGACTGCTAATGAGGTTAATTCTCTCCTCATAAACTCACTAGCTATAAGAGTTTCCTCTTTCTGTGACCTGCTTAGATCATTCATTGCCCATTTTTCTATGAGATTGCCTATCATTTTCCTGCAGACATACAGAAATTCTTGTGTATTCTAGATGTATATCCATTAACAATGTACAATATCTTATTAATAATCTATTTTGTAAATTTAGCCACCTGATGTGAAGAGCCGAGTCTTTGGAAAAGACCCTGATTCTGGGAAAGATTGAAGGCAAGAGGAAAAGAGGGCAACAGAGGATGAGATGGTTGGATAGCATCATCGACTCAGTAGATTATATATATATATAATGGAATATCACTCAGTCATAAAAAATGATATCTGCCTTTGTAACAGCACAGAAGTACTTAGAGAGTGTTATGCTAACTGAAATAAGTCAGACATAGAAAGACAAATACCATATGTTATCACTTACATGTGGAATCTAAGTAAAACAAACAAATAAATATAACAAAATAAACAGGCTCACAGATATAGAGAACAAGCAAGTGGAGAGATGGAAGGGGGAAGGGAAAGATAGAGGTAGAGGATTAAGAGGTACAAACTACTATGTATAAAATAGATAAACTACAAGAATATACTGTACAACCCAGGAAATAGAGCCAATATTTCATAATAACTGTAAACAGAAAATAATCTGTAATTCTGAATTACTATGATGCATACCTGAAACTAACATAACATATTGGAGATTGTCCTAGGAGCAGAGAGCCATTGAGGGAATATTCATTCAAGAAAATACACTAAATCTCAGTAATAACTACATGAATCTACAGTATTTGAGCCACCACTGCTCCCTCCTTCCCTCACCCACGTCTCTTCATTGACCGAGGCTCCAATCCAAGGGGATGTGGCAAAGAAAGCTCCCTCTCCTCTCAGCTTCCAATCGTGGACCACCATACCTCACCAGGAGTGACAGACCTCCAGCATTTCTCTCTCTTCCCTGGAAGAAATGCCATCAGCACCTCCTCTTGCTCACAAGAATCTTAATCATTACTACTCTCAGTCATTTTCAGTTTTTTATTTTGTTATCTGGCACCAAATCCCCTTGAGATGGGTAGACTGTGTTCATCCTCCCTCCTTTAAAGGTAAGGAAATCAAGGCTTAAAGATGTTAATACATATTAACATTTATAATAATACATTATTAACATTTATAGTAATAAATCATCAATACTCAATGATGTAAATGCTGCTAAATGTTTGACAAGTTTTCTAGGGAGGGACATGGATGAAGTTCTGAATGATTTGTTATTATTCAGTTGCTCAATCGTATCTTTCTTTTTGCAACCCCATGGACTGCAGAATGCCAGGCCTCTCTGTCCATCACCAACTCTCAGAGCTTGTTTAAACTCATGTCCATTGAGTTGGTAATGTCATCCAAACATCTCATCCTCTGTCATCCCCTTCTCCTACTGCCTTCAATCTTTCCCAGCATCAGGGTCTTTTCTAATGAGTCAGTTCTTCGCATAACGTAGCCAAAGTATTGAGCTTGAGCTCCAGTTTCCGTGGTGTAAATATTCTCACTACAGCAGGTTTCAAGCTACCAGCAGGATGTCCCTGAACTTGAAACAGAGCAGAAATTGACCATGAAGAGGACTCTTGGAAAGGAGGTGGAAACTGATATTTCTGAGTATATGTTATGTACTGGGTAATCTGCAAGGTGCTTCCCCAACATCATCTTCCCTCATCATGATAATAAATGTTTGTGGTAGGTATTCATTATCCCAATTTTAAAGCTGTGGAAAATAAGACTTAGGGTTAGGTAACATGCCCAAGGTTGTTTACTAATATATGGGATGATATTTTGGCTAAACCATTGGGACATCCTCTCTCCTTCTTTTTTTACCACATCATGTGGCATACAAGATCTTAGTTTCCTGATCAGAGATTGAACCCATGCCCTCTGCATTGGGAATGTGGAGTAGTGGACCCCAGGGAAGTCTCTCCTTCTTTACTTTTCAACTCTTCTCCTATATATTTAGGTTCTCTATCACTGACCTTTGTAAAAGTCCTATTTTTACCTGGGTTGATATGCCAGTTCCCTCAAGGCTCTGCCCAAAACCAACGTGACACCAGCTGGACTTACCAAAGATGCCTATAGCTGCAGGCTTGGGTCTATGGCCAGCATCAATGCAAGCAGGATCCATGGAATAAGACAGCATCAGTGGTGTGTCTGGGATAGGAAGAGAAGCCCATCAGGATGACAGAAATTTATATGTCATTTAAACTCATTTCCAGTAACCTCAGCTACAACAAAAATGAGTTTATAAGCAAGATGTTTCAGGGGAAAATGAAACCAAATAAGTGGGTGAGGGAGGCAAGAGACTATTTTTGAAGCAAAATTTCATCTTCAAAATCTAATTATGAGTCTAATTAGAAGACAGTAGTTTCTTCTAGCATGTAAGAGAACAGTTCCTACTTTCTCCCATCAGAACATACAACGCTGTTACCAAACCTGACCTTCTGTCTCCCTGGAGTGTCAAAAACAATGACAAGTCCTCATGACCGAGTGCTGCGATGCCTCATATGGTTTACCTGTGTGTCTTCTAATTTTTAAAACAACTCAAGACATTTAATAGCATAGCCCTGTTTTGATCTTGGAAGCAAGACTTAGATATTTAAGTGACCTGTAAAGACCTCAGTTGGGATTCGAATCTGCATTTACTTAATCTCCAAGCATACGATGTCTCCATCACCCCATCCTGAAACGCAGGACCCAGACCAGAGCTTTGCTTCCTCAGCTGCCTCTCTGGGGCCCCCTTTCTGCTTTCTGTTTCTCTTCTGCCCTGTTTTCTTGTGTGGCTGGTCTATTTGATACCAATCTCAGTTCTGAAAGCTGAGTGAGTGGCCCCTGGCATGTGGGTACACAGATAATTAAAAGACACTTTCCACCTGTCCTGTGTTCTCTTAGGTGAGGTAAACAGCAGCTAATGAAGCTTGCTGACGTCCAAGTCACAGTCCCAGGGAAAGGTGTGGTGCTCACACACCCATGTTATAGATCAGGCAAACAGAGGACTAGGGAAAGAAGCAGGCCTAATCAAAACAAACGAGCAGGAAGAAAAGCCTCACGCTTTGTCCTGCTGCCTCGTCCTTAGAACCTGTTCACATTGATTACCTTAGAGGTCATGTTATTATTCTAAAACTTGGTATCTAGTGATTTAGTTCAGAACTTTTCCAGATGGACAAACTATCTGAGTCAGATGAATACTTCTTGCCCAGACTGTTCAAGATCTAGTTAATACAATTCTGTGCTCCATTTTATGGTAGAGAATGCACTATGTACCCTTGAAGGGGACTTTGAATATATATATATATATATATATATATATTTTTTTTTGCAAAGATACCTGGAGTATGACAGTAGACTATGACACTGGACAACTTCTAAAGGTAGATGAAGGAACCCTTCCTGGTAAAAGAAACATTCACAGAGCACCCTGGGATCCGTGGGGATGTACATTTTAGTTTCAAAATATAGTGGTGACATAGCCTGTGACATAAAGAATTTGTGAAATCAGAGTACGGGCTGTTCCCCAGTGTGTGTCAAGGAGCCCGAAGACATATGTTTTTACCCATCTGTGGTGACTCTGAGCCATTTTGATTTCAGTGTCCTTGGGAACACCAAGTGATGCATGAGTCACTGATTCAACACGTTTGTTAAGTATGTACCGTGTGCCGTGTACTCTGTTACAATCTGCAGATTCAGTAGGGAACAGGACAGATGGTTCATGCCTTCATAGTGCTTACAGTCCAGGTGACAAGTGGATATTGTTCAGGTAATTACAGGAATGCTAACGTTATTAAAGATAGCCACACCAGAGCTAACTGGGCTAGAGACAGCTATAATCATTCTAGAGATAAAAAACTAAGACTCGAGGATGTCATCACAGACCTAGAAAATCTGATTGACCTGGACTTGATCCATATTTTTCAGACTCCTGTATACAAATATAGGAAAATCAGGTTCAATTTATGTCATTTTAATTGACAGGCTGTACCAGGAATATAACTATAAAATAAATGGGGAATTCACTTGAGGTCCAGCAGTTTAGACTCAGAACCTTTGAAGCGGGGATCCCAGGTTCAATCCCTGGTCAGGGAACTAAGATCCCACAAGCCCCGAGGTGCAGCCAATAAATGAATAAATAGAAGAGCTGTGCTATTCATTTGTAACATTGGGTCAGGATTCCAGGGCCTCTCAGAGCACAGCTGAGATCGGTATGTAGAGAGAACAGAATATGCTACATAGCCTGACTACAGGTCAAATTGTGCTTGTCCTTCTCACTTCCTATCTAGTTAGGTAACCAAGTGGCCATAACTTGGTTAGAGGCTTTCCCCTCTCCAACGGCGATATTCCTTCTTTCTTTCGGTGAGTCATCCAAAACATTATAAACCTAACGTTAATGCACTTCAATTTATTCAGTTAACAAACTTCAGCTCATGAACTTCACTTCAGTTATATATCAGACATTGTTCTAGGTCCTGAATATACACAGGTGAGTGAAACAGACAATATCTCTATGCTCCTGGATTTATAGTCTACAGTCTAGTAATCAATAATTACATTAGGATAGCCAGTAGCCACTTTCTTCCCCAGTATAGCATAAAAAAGCAATTCAGGGGTGACTTCCCTGGTGCTCCAGAGGTTAGGATTCATCTTCCAATGTAGGCGATGCAGGTTCAACCCTTGGTCAGGAAGCTAAGATCCCACATCTTTGAAGCCAACAGCAACAACAACAAAACAGAAGCAATTTTGTAACAAACTTCAATAAAGACTCTTAAAATGATCCACATAAAAAAAAAATCTTTAAAAAATTCAGAGAGTTCATCTTCCCGTCATCTGCTATAAATTCTCTTCCCATGTTCTATTAATCTTGCCCACAGTCAGTGGTCTGTGGTTGAAATATTTACATAATGAATGAACTGAGCCATGTTTGGAAGAGCTCCAAGCCCAGTTCTGTAGCCAAACTTCTGGTTAGTCCTTCAAGTCAAGACTAACAAATTGCTTGGATGGAAATAATAAAAGTTGATCAGACAAGGATATTTATTAATTATCTAAAGAAAATTCAAAGAGGAAAACAAAATGGAAGGCAAAGCTCTTCTCCCTGTAAAAGTACATCATTTAAATCACACATAAAGCAGGCAGAAGTAACCCATGGATGGGTATCAACCTGGAACTCTAGATTTGATGACAAATACAAAGTTAAGAAAGAGTGAAATGCATTCAGTCAACAACTATTTACTAGAAGCTCATTAGACATCAATTTCTGTTCTAGGCACAGAGAATAAAGCAATGCAAGTAGGCAGTATACGTGCCCCTGTGGCTCTTATGTTCCAGTGGGAGCCCGAGGCAATAAATTACTGAATAAAGCTTAATACAATGTCAGGTGTCTAGATAAAAATAATGTAAGGTAAAGGAATATGATTGGTTAAGGATATTATTTTATATCAGGAAGTCAGAAAAGCAGGGGACATGAAGTATGAGACATAAGAATGTCTGGGGGAAGAAAGTTCCTAGAGGGGACAAAGGCATGAAGTGTGGCTGATTGGCATTTCAAGAACCAGGATAAAAACCATGAAGATGGAAGGGAGTAAACGGAACTGCATTTTTCAGGCCTTGGTGTCCTTGCATTCCTCTAGTAATTCTTTCAAAAGATATTGCTTTGATATTCCACCTGAAAGCAGGAGAACATGTTAAAAACATGTTAAAACACGGGTGGCCATCTACCATTAATGGAGTTAATTATAGGAGCACGGTGGGGGAGTTTAGATTTAAAGTGTACATTGTCATCTTCCCCCGCTTTCTTATCTCCAAAGGCCTACACTGCAAGGCCCGTGGAGAAGAGGGAGCCATCCCCCTCGGTGAGATTTATGCTGTTCAGAGGGTTCCTGCTTCTCGATATCCAATTCGTATTTAGGTATGCTTTTATAGTTTTTTTTGTGTGTGGATCTAGATTAATTTTTATGTTTTTAAATATTTTATTTATTTATTATTTTGACTTCCCTGGGTCTTAGTTGTGGCTTGTGGGATCTTCATTGCAACATGTGTGCAGGATCTAGTTCCCCGATCAGGGATTGAACTCTGGGCCCCCTGCTTTGGGAGTGTGGAATCTTAACCACCGGATCACCATCTAAGTCCCATTGTGCCATCTTTGTTGATGATATTTTACTCTTGAAGAACCGACTGGTTGGAAAAGACCCTGATGCTGGGAAAGATTGAGGGTGGGAAGAGAAGGGGGTGACAGGGGATGAGATGGCTGGATGGCATCACCGACTCAATGAACATGAATTTGAGCAAGCTTGGGAAGATAGTGAAGGACAGGGAAGCCTGGCATGCTGCAGTCCAAGGGGACATAAAGAGTTGGACGCAACTGAGAGACTGAACAACAGCTCTTGAAATTTCTTCAGGCAGACTCTATTCATTTCTGTTGGCTCTGCAGAAGATGCCGGCAGCTAGCTCTCCCTAGGAACACATGTCAAGAAGTATCCAACTAAGAACCTTGACACACCAGGTCATGTTCATGATCTTTGTAGCCCTTGTCCTCATAAATATAATGCTGAGTGACAACTTAACACATGTTCGTCCTCACAGTTGGAAATCAAAGTCATAATGGTTCCTCTGGATTCCAGCTTCCCGCATTGCTGGTCACATGAATTTAAGAACAAGAAGTTGCTAGAATAACAGGAAAAGAACAAAGATGTCTGTGAGTGGGAATTCAGCATGCCACTACTGATGGGTTTTTAGGTTGTTAACTCAGTTCCAGAAAGGAAGCTTCCTCCTGAGCTCTATTGCTTGTACTGAAGGTCCTTTGACATTAGGAAAACAGTCAGTTTGGTTAAACTCCTGGAGAAAGAAGAATCTTTTGCCATGGATATGGTTTGCCTGATTTGGAAATTTTGGCACAAGTAAAATAAAAGTAGAACTGCATGTAAAAATAGCTAACTTGATCAAGGATTATAAAACTGTACTAAGCCTGTCCACTAAGCCTTAAAAATAGAAACAAATATCTGTTCTTTTCTTCATGTATTCTCAGTAAATCCTTACCATCCTATATCATTTTGCCCTGGTCCTCTTTCCTTCTTAGTTTCAAAGAAAAACCCTTAACCCATTGGTCTCATTCAGCTTAAGTGAGACCAGCTCTCAGAATTTAACTTAACTCAGCTCTCAGAATTTTGTCTGTTCATTGCTACTTTACTCTGTGGAATTTTAGAAAGTGAAAACTGAGATTCTGCAAAGTCATGGCAATGAACTAGACCTTGGTTTCTCCCTCCCTAAGCTGACAGGTTTACTGGGATAAAGGCATTGCCTCTTCATGGACCTCTGTTTCAGCCCTTTCTTGTTTTGTTTTGGCTTTTTCCTTTTTCTTTTCTTTTATGACTAAAGTTAAAGAGCTAATAAACTGACACATAGTGCTTCTAATCCAGGGGGATAAAATAGGTTATCTTTAATCTGCACAGATTTCCTGACAGTATGCCAGTTAGGAAGTAATCAAATGGCCCTTTTTGCCTGAGGTTTTTAGATGCCATCAAGAGCTTCTTGGTCATGGAAATCCTATCATTTTCTTTGTTGACAAGATTAGAACTAGCAACCTGCTTTCCCTTATCAACAGATACAGTTACTGTTTCAGACAACTTGCCCCTGGGAACAAATTCAAGTTAAGGCAGAGGTTTCTGACACCATGCTGCCAAGTAGTTATCAAGTAAATTGTTTTGAATTCGAAGTCTGCCTGCATATGTGGGTATTACCTAATATTGCTGCCAATCCCCTGAGATTATTCTCTCCAGCATCACCAAGTAATAGGTGCTGTTGTGTTATAGGGCTTCCCAGGTGGCGCTAGTGGTAAAGAAAGTGAAAGTGAAAGTCTCTCAATTGTATCTGACTCTTTGCGACCCCAAGGATTATACAGTCTGTGGAATTCTCCAGGCCAGAATACTGGAGTGGGTAGCCTTTCCCTTCTCCAGGGGATCTTCCCAACCCAGGGATCGAACCCAGGTCTCCTGCATTGCAGGCAGATTCTTTACCAAAGTGGTAAAGAACTTACCTGCAATGCAGGAGATGTAAGGGACATGAGTTCAATCTCTGGGGCAGGAAGATCCCCTGGAGAAGGGAAAGGCTACCCACTCCAGTATTCTTGCCTGGACAATCCCATGGATAAAGGAGCCTAGAGGTTACGGTCCATGACCTCAAAGAGTCAGACGTGACTGAAGCAACTTAGCATGCTGTGTTATAGGATGTCCAATCCTTTAGCAGTTTCCAGACAAATGTCACTCACACCCAGGCATTTTGTAACTCCAGAAATACCAATTAGGCCCTATCATGGGTTATCTTCTATTAGTTCCCGTTGTGTCCAACTCTTAGCAACCCCATGGACTGTAGCCTGCCAGGCTCCTCTGTCCACGGGATTTTCCAGGCAAGAACATTGGAGTGGGTTGCCATTTCCTTTTTCGATTAATTCCTAAGTGATTCCTTAATACCCACCACCCATTCTCCCTACCTCTTCTGCCCTGGAATGCTATGCACACTTTCCCTCTGTTATCTGCAGAATTGTTGCTACTGTTTAGTCACTAAGTCATGTCCAACTCTTTTGCAACCCCATGGACTATAGCCCACCAGACTTCTCTATCCATGGGATTTCCCAGGCAAGAATACTGGAGTGGGTAGCCATTCCCTTTTCCGGGGGATCTTCCCAACCCAGGGATGAAACCTGTGACTCCTGTATTACAAGTGGATTCTTTACCACTGAGTCACAAGGGAAGCCCCATCTGTAGAATAGTTGTTCTTTATTCGGATATTGGAAACTTACTTCATTTTGAAAAATAATTTTAACCAAGCATCTTCTCGATAATGGTGGGTCTCACCCTATAACAATACCTGTACAGGCTACGATGAAAATAAAGACCCTGCAGTTCATGGCAAAAAGTAAAGAGATTCCATGATGAGAGTGTGTGGGCATCTCTGTGAAGTGGTACCATACGGCTCTTTTTTTTTTTCTCTAATAATAAATTTTTCGTTTGGCTGTGCCAGCTCTTAGCTGTGGCACTCTGGATCTCCAGTCTTCATTGTGGCATGCGGGTTCTTTAGTTTTGGCATACAAACTCTTAGTTGAGGCATATAGGATATAGTTCCCTGACTAGGGATCAAACTTGGGCCCCCTGCATTAGGAGCACGGAGTCTTAGCCACTGGACCACTGGAAAAGTCCCATGGCTCTTTTATGTAAGACTGGATTACACAGATATAGGGGTCTTACAGAGGCTTACAATCCAGTCTTTGAGGGTAACAAGCATCTCTTTCACTGGTTTGCCATAGCATCTGTAGCTCCCATCACTGTATTAAATAAATAAATAAATTGGTTTAGTTGCTAAGTCATGTCCAACTCTTACAATCCCATGGGCTATAGCCCGCCAGGCTCCTCTGTCCATGGGATTCTCCAGGCAAGAATATTGAAGTGGGTTGCCATTTCCTTCTCCAAATATATTGGGGGTATATATATACCCCTCTCAGAGTGTTTAAACATGTTACTGGAAAAGACCAGGCTGTCAAGACATTGGTGCAAATTATCTTAGCTGCCCCTTTGGAAAGATGGGAGAAGAGACTGAGAAAGGACACCAGAAAAGACAGAGTTGATGATTACATTGTGGAAGGATTGGAAGAGAGTAATATAGTTATCTGAAAATTGAACTATTCATGGTAAAATGGGCAGTAATGGGGCAGTTCAGTAAGGAATGACTCTATTAGCTTGGGCTCTTTAGATCATGAGAAACAGACACCCAAATCAAACTAATTTAAGAAGGGAATAAAAATGACATATATTGGTTATCAGGGAAGGATGCTGGGGTAATTCCCATGTCTGAGAAGTAAGCTGCAGGAATCTGCTCTGAGGGCAGAGGGGCTCCCAGACACCAGGACTCACCACCTCCTTTTCCATCACCCATTCCTGCTCCCCCTGCCCCCCACTGGTTTTATCCCCCACACAGGAGAGAAGCTAGCTTAGAGGACCCCTGGCCTTAGGCCCAGACGCAGAGAGGACTTCTCTCCATTCCCAAATGAATTTCAAATGGGGCTCTGGTTGGCCTTGAGTGGGTCACATGACCATTACTGCACCCTGGGGTGGGGTGGGGGAGAAGCCCCACCAGAATAATAAGAAAAAAAAAAAGTGGAACAATTATCCAAAGAAAAGGAGTGCTGTATAAACATTATCCTCAGTGGTGAAAAATTGAAAGCATTTCCCCTAAAGTCAGGAACAAGACAAGGGTGCCCACTCTCACCACTACTATTCAACATAGTTTTGGAAGCTTTGGCCACAGCAATCAGAGCAGAAGAAGAAATAAAAGGAATCCAGATAGGAAAAGAAGTAAAACTCTCACTGTTTGCAGATGACATGGTCCTCTACATAGAAAACCCTAAAGACTCTACCAGAAAATTACTAGAGCTAATCAATGAATATAGTAAAGTTGCAGGATATAAAATTAACACACAGAAACCCCTTGCATTCCTATACACTAACAATGAGAAAACAGAAAGAGAAATTAAGGAAACAATA